TTGTTCCCCACTCTATTCCTTAAGGCTGACCGATTTCTTCCTCACTGTAGCTCCTGATTCTCCTACAACCTACACCCAGCAACAACAGTAAGACACAGTTCCCAGCTTTATCGCTAACATGAAGTGTCACCATGCTCTGCACCATGTGTCAGAAGTTGCTTGTATTAGTCTTTAAAAGGTTATGCTCTTCCATAAAGAATCAGAAGAGAACTCTTTATCCATTCCTGGCTTTCATTTGCAATTTCACAAGCACAACTCCAAAGCCAGGCTACAAATGGCCAAGGAAGGTAAGCCAAAACAATGCTGTTGGACACAAAATATATATCGTGCAAAACAGAAGAGGTGACTTTTCAGCTGAAGAGGTGAAAGAGGAATGCATCACTTGAACTCTTTTCATCTAAATCATCTCACATGCTCTTAGGATGTAAGCCAGTGTTGTGGTTTTTTAGCACGCAGAAAGTCTCTTCCCATCCAGGAAGACCAACATTTTTCCTGTAAAAAAATCTCCACCCTAGAGAACAAACAGGAATGATATTCTCTTCATAGAAGTGCTGAGATTGCACTTGTCAATGTGAGCCTTGAAAAACTGAGAAGGGAGTATAACCTCCTGTGCTACCATGTTTTTGTGGGAGAGAAACAAGAGAAGGGCCCCTTAACTTCTCCTCTTCAAATGATTTCTAGGAGTCCTTAATTTTTCTTTTCATGTCCCAACTTGTCCTGTCTCTTAGAGGAGACAAGATAACGTGAAATAAAACTTGCTGTGGATTAAAAATGCATTTTTAAATTTGTATTTTCTTATTTTTTTCCCTAAAATAATAAAAGATACCTTGATCTTTTAAGCTCCTGAATTCCGCTTATTTGAAAATACAGTATCTATGTAATCTCTATCATCTTATGTGACCATCAAATTCCTTGTCCTGAAACTAACAAGCTATGAAAACACCAAAAGAGATCACAGGAGGTTTTTTTATATATGTACATTAATCAGAAAAAAAAAAAAATTAACACAGTGCTAATTTTTAAGCTGTTACTGTACTGTTCTGCACCCAAGTTACTTATGCTCTCCAGGTGCTCTCCATGACTCTCACTTCTATCTCTGCCTATAGTTACACAAACCTCAGTGATTCTAGCAGCTGAGAATTAATACACACTCCTTTGTTCAGCTCTAACCACCCTGAGTTTTCAGTTTCAGATGTTAACTTCTGCCAAAACCAGAGTAACTCCATTTCAAACTCATCGCATCAGCCCACATTCAATCAAAAGTTATGAACAAGTTTTATCTGCAAGTTCTGTAATAAACATTTCACTTAACTCCCAATAAGAGCTCACTGAGAAAAAACTTGTTTTTCATGATGGATAGATGGAAATTATTTACTGTAAGATCATGGTCCTTAAAAAGCAGGCTGGGTTCACATCAAACTGTAGACTGTAGACAATTTCTCTTTAAGAAATCTTCAAGAAATGTTTAGTTTCCCAGCCACAAAAATTTTAAACTTCCCCTGTCTTTAGATTCTTTTTCTGGAGATAAGTCATTTGATTCAATGTGCTTGGAATGAAGGATTCAAAGAATTTATAATCTATATTTAGGCAATCTTTCTGCCGTGTCATTTATTAAAAAAGAAGGTTCTATTAATGTAACAATTGTTACTAGTTATTGAACTAGTTTATATATTCTGTAAGTAAATATATACTGCACAATGTTGATATTTAGACAGCTGCTTAATGTTTGCACAAATCATTACTTTAGTGGCAGTCGGGCCTTGAACTAAGTCTCAGCTGAGTTGCAGGTTTTTAACAAAATAATGTTCCACATGAATAAAAATGGCAGTACATTGGTCTGTCTGATATTTATTTCTGAAGTGACTCTGAGGTTCTTTTATTGCAGCAGGAAAATTGGTAAAAATCATATAACTGAGCTCCGTGATGGGGCAAAAATTGGAAAGCCATGCCTTCTAACACCAGTCAGCTAGAAGCACTGTGTGGACAGATGTGAAGCAGAGAAACTACCACAGACATCAGGCTTTAATAAGGCTGCATGTCAGTACACACACAGAAGACTTGTTGAAAAAGCACTGCAAAATAGAAACAATGCACCCTTGGAAAGTGAAAGGATTGAAAAGTTGCTGTGGGCAAATGATGTGCTGAGGTGTAGGCTTGTATTCACATAGAAACCCTTTTTACACACAAGGCTACTTCACATTAGAGACATTTGTCAGATCACCCACTGAATAATTCTATTTTTGTCTGAAACATCCCTGATGCTGTGTATGCAAATAGGTCTGTGTGTATAAAAGTAAAACTGTTCTTCAGTTTCTGCTTACTCACCTCACTCAAATTCCTCTGTTATTCTGTTTCTAGAAGTTTTCTGTATTATTTATTAATGTAGGGTTATCTATAGTATAAATTATCATTATCTGTAGTTCATCTGCCTGTAGCATCTATTATCTGTACTACGTGCTACCTCTTTTCTTAAATTCCAGAATGCCTAGACTAAAAATAATCATACTTTTAGGGTTTTCTCCTAACAAGTTTGCATGCTCAAGGGCCACAAGTTGAATGACAAAGCTCTCTTGGGTACAGGGATAGGCAGCTACAGGAATAACACAAGGGGTGGAAATTGTGAACGCTTTTCCAGAACCTCTCTACTCCTCTGAATGGGTCCACTGGTGTCACAGTGGATTAGAAGCTAAAGTGTACTAAACAAGTGGACATCCATAAGCAACTTGAAGCACTAACTACCCACTTGTGAAGCACAGGTTACACAGAGCTCGATTTATTTACACGCAAACCTCAGTTAAAATGAGGTGATTTCTTCACTCTCTTTCTACATTTAAAGCTTAATTTGATACTGTTGAGTTCCTGGAACCCAGAACCTACATGTACAATAAAGTAACAGCATATTTTTAAAAATCAGGAAAGCACTTGCAAGTTAAATAACTATAATAAATTGGCACTCTAAGCAACTGATTTTTTATTATTGTAAGTATAGCCAACTAGATTCACTTGAAAGAGTAAAGCTAATCATTGCAACAACAATGTGGTTGTGGTAATTGTAGTTAAAGACAGGCACGTTCATCAAGATTATGTAAAAGTAATAACGACTTTTTCAAGTGTGCTTTAAGAGAACAGAGTGCAGATATACACATTTAAAGATGCATGACTGGAAAGAAAAATAATTATTCTTTAAAAGTTGGGGAAAATGTACCTGCTTAAAATAGGCAAAATAGTAGATAATTTCTGTAGCAGTTAATCATAATGATATTCACATCAGAGCAAATTAAATGCTTCACAACCGCCCTGGTGCTTAGCTGGGTAATAGGAACAGCTCTTTCTGCCAGATACAAGTTCAATGGTAATTTCAGGAATGTTATTATTAACCCTCCTTTTACTTCTTTGCAAGAGTATTTCGAATGTTAAAAGGAAAAAAAATCATCTTTACTCAAAGACAGCAATATTAAAAATTAGTGTGGTGTTGACGTCAAAATATTGGTCTTCTGATTTAGTGCACTTTCCATTGATTCCCAGGTGACCAACATTGTTTTACTTTCAAATAGATGTAAATGAATACATGGTGGTAAAACTTTCTCATGTATTATCCTTCCTTCATCTCTACAATCACAAAGCTGGGCTATCACCAGCTGAAATATATTTACATATGACATAGCATTGTACTGGCCTTTCATGTTCAACCTCCAGAGATACTCAGAGAGATGTTAACCTCTTTCAGAGAAAAAGATCTTTGTTTCTTTTAATGAAATATCTTATTCTCCTCCTGAGAAGTCCAAAAATGTACTGGACCACATAACACATAGATCCTCAGTGACACAATTTTAGGCAAAAAAAGTTGACAAAGTGATTACCCAGACAGTTCAGTTATAAACCTCCTGTTCAGAAAAGTAGAATTAATGTCTAGCCCTTCATTTTCACCAAGGTGTGATTTTGGGAGTTGAAGGGTCAGATGAAAATGAGCTACTGAAATCAACATTAAGAAATTCTGTTAAAGATCTGTTAAATGTTACTGGACGGGGAGCATTTAATTAGTCCTTTCCACCTCTAACTTTATAAATTCTGCTATTCTTATTGACATAACGAGAGATCTTTTTAGACTGATTTTGGTGTGTCAATCTGAACTAGCATTAAGTCAAAAAAAAAAAAAAAAAAAAAGCTAAATCATCTTCATTTACTGTAAGCTCAGAGACTTGATTTTTGCAGCAGATATTCTGTCATAGTTTGCTTGAATTCTGTGGCAGTAAATTACAAGATACGTCAATGTAAAGCGGCAGTGAAATCATTTATCATTAACTTGAAGAGGCCATTATTCAGCTCTGGAAGATGACTGTTTTATGAAATACAAAAGGATGAGATCATGATTTAGTGACTAGGAGAAGTGTTCATTTTCCAAAACAGCAGTACATAGCAAGGGTGAAAAAGGAATGAAGCCTAAACAGTTGATACTGCATACTGTTTTGATGTTTTCTATCTTAGTTAAAATTGCTTTTAGAAAACTTGTTGCTGATTAGCAGACACTTTTTACCGGTTGGCTGCTATATCTGTTGCACTTCTTTCTGTGCAATTACAACTCTCACAAGCTACCTCAAGTAGATGCCCTAGCTGAGTGTCAGGAAAAAGATTTAAAGAGGTATAAAGCTTTCTACGTTCTAAAGGCTATTTGAAGTATTAGAGTTTCTAAATATGCACTTTAAAGAGTCCAGAAATTATCATTTATTTTGCTTTTTTTTTTTTTTTGACGTAGTCACTAATGTGTTTGGCTGCTTTACGAAAATTATCCCCACTTAGGAAGCTTACTTGTGTAAATAACTAACAGGATGTTTTTTGTTACGACTAATTTTGTAAAGATTGAAGATGTGTTCAGCACTGAAAAAGGGAGCACTCAACAGAACACAGTATCAAACGCCATAAAGTTATCGCTTTCTAGAAGAGATTAAACATGGGATTTCTCTTTTTGTGATGCAGTCAATAAAAAGCACAGAAATGCCTACCTTTTCCAGCTGGTGCATCCCTTCCTCTACACAACAAATAGATGCCAGTGTTCTCAGTGTCTGGGGATAAAGGCACCTGAAATAATCCTGTCGACAGATCTTAAAGAGGGCAACGACACCTCCTTCCTGCAGATGAAAAGCAGAAATCAGAAAAACAGCACTAAACGTTTCTCTACAACATAATTGAGACTGGGACAGAGGGAAGGGCAGAGTCCTTTATTATTATATCCAAATAAGCTATCATCGAAACAACAACAAAGATGTTAAACTTGCACAGAGAACTCAAGTTGATTAACGCTTATACGGTAAGTGATGAAAAAGTAACATAGCCTAAGTAGTAGGAGGTGTGCTTAAGCAATTGACTTTTACCAATGAGAACAAATTAAATTAAACTTGACATCCATATGAAAATGACAAAGAATTATCAATAAGCTGAACTGGAGAGATATTTAATTGATAGTTCAACTACATGCTATTAATTAAAAACAGATTTGTTAGCAAATATTTCATATTACTCTATGTTTCTGATATCCATACCATAATTTTACATTAATAAAATATGAAAGAGAAGGTCACAGGTTGAAGAGCTATTGAAAATGTCAAAGGTGAAGTTCTACAATGATACAATCCATATATTCCTCTTCTAGCACATAAAATTTGCATTCCTACGCATTTTTCTTCAGATATGGCACATAACAAAAAATAATTGAGTATATATAAATCCCTATAGTAGCTGCCCTTCATCATTTCCAACATAGTGCATAAACATAAATATTAGCAAAGGTCACATAATAAATGGAAAGATACAGATATAAGCAATATATGCACTTCAGGGTTTTTGTTGGATTGTGTTGTTTCTAAATGCTTGCCAGGCAGACTACAGAAGCTTTAATTTATTTTTATTTTTTTCCACGTAAAAGTAGCCACACAATGAAGAAAGAATTTTAAATGTTCACAAATGAAAAACCTTGGTCTAAAGTACTAATACTACAGGCATGAGTTAAAATTAATTGGAATCATGGACCAAGTTTAATACAGATTGTTCAGATTAAGCCTACTTAAGTAGCCTCCATAAAAAACTATCTTTCAGATTTACTTATCATCTTTTTCTCTTCGGCCAGTTATAGTATTTGAAATCTCAACAGGTTGTTCTGACAAAAAACGTCCGGAATACAATTCAGAATCCTTCCACATTTTTGTGCTAGTTCTGCTGGAATTTAGCAGAGAATAATAGAGTAAAATAATGTGTCCATTCAGCCTGGCAAAAAATAGACACTGTCTTAAAATTAAATTAGAATTACGCAAAAATTAACATCTCAATATAATTTCAGGATTCAAATTTTTTATACTATCTTTACAGACATTTGTGCCATTTCAATGAAATCAGTGAAAAGAGAAGGCTTAATAAGGTTTCTTAAGAGTAAAATTTATTTGTGGAATTGTAAGAAGTGCACGTATATCTTTGAGTTATTTTATATCTGGCTATATTCAGCTTACTACACAAAGACATTTCACAGCCTTTAAAATAAAAGGCAGAACACTAAGAAAAATTCTTACAGTGATTCTTCCACCCATAAAAGGATAATGGCATTTCCCCCTTGTAGTAATTGAAGTATCTATTAATAAGCATAGAAATGAGTGAGTACAGTGCTGTCCCCAGATCTGAGGTAACTGGGATTTCTTTGGTCCTACTGTCAGTATGAAAGTACTCACAGTTCTGTGGGATCAGAGCAATCTGGTTCTCTAATTTGATTATAATAAGCAGAACTTTGTGAATGACAATAATGACAACTGCACGTTGGCTTCAAGCTTTCTTTCTGACAAATGGGTGCCTTGCTCTTGTCTCTGAGGGACAGGAAGTGATTTATCACTGTGTTTGTTGGGAGAAGATCCAAACTGTTTATTATGTGCACCGTATACTATTACCAAGTTGTAAAACGTTGACCATAAGTAATGAATCTAGAGAGATGTAAATGAAATACAGAGTGAGTAGGAAATAGTGAGCCTGATTCTATGGCTTGGCAAAAGCACTCAGGCACCCAAAGCTTTACTGATATCTCAGCATTCTCCAGAAGTAGTTCACCTTTTTCTGAATCTGTCTTTCTGATGATGACACGATAGCAGACCTACTCCATCTCACAGGGCTAAGTATAATTTAGTCACGTGTATTCTTGTACTTTATACTTATTTACCATTCAGAGAATCTTAGCAGCACAAAATTTCTCTTGCTTTGGAAATCACCTAGTTGTACACGTTTCCTAAAGCTCCTGGTATATCTAACCATGCTTTTGTTTTTCTGTTTATCCTCTGTAGACTTTTGGTCAATGACGGGAACCAAAAGAACACCACAAGAAGCATTGCTCTTGCTGTAATTCAAGTTTCATTTGAGACAGGCTTCACATACTCTCTGCAATGGTAGGGCAACTTGCTTTACTGCTTGATGATCTGCTTTTCTTCCATACTGGATTAGCAGGAATTCAATTTCCTAGAGAATTCCCTGAGATGATGTTCAGAAGGGCTAACACTAGATTAAAAAAATCACCTGAGATACAATCACAAGTACGGGATGAAGGATGTCACGAGGATAAAAAGCCACACTGCACAAGGAGTGCAGTGAAGAGCAGGGATAGAAGGCATCTACCCCTAATGAGCAGTGTTTTGCAGGTTCGGCCTCAAATTATTTAAAGTGCAGCAAATTCCATCAAGCCCTTTTCTCGTGATGGAAGACAACATTTATAATTAGCTCGAAAGATGATCTCTGAAGAAATCTCTGCAGTAAATACTTGCTAGAAATGGAACTGACGTACAAAGAAGATAAGGCCATGATGTACCAGAAGATTTTCTGAGAGCAAGCGAGCTGCTGCGCATCTCTACAGAGTCATTCAGGCTCAGTTTCTCCAGAGAAAGGTATGATAAACAGGTATGGTGTATTTGCTTTAGTTGTCTTGGGTTTTACCTCTCTCATTTTAGGAGACTATTACTATAGCATTCAATCCAATATAGTTAGTATTACATTCTAATTGATCAGTGAAATGGATTTCTTTTAAAACATTTGTTGTGTTACTTGATGTCCTACTATGTATTTATTTTAATTCTGGAACTGATTTCTATGGATTCTTCTGCTTGTCACAAACCTGAATCAATTTAGAGACAGTCTACTTTAGCAATGCTAGAGTTCTTGACAGGTGCTCAAATTCACTCAAAGCATTTAATTTTTATTTTTTAAAAACTCCTTGTGATCTTGGAACATGATGGTAGAGGTTTAACTACCAAGATACTAATTTGTGGGTTTTAATAAGAAGGATTTGAAGATCAAAATCTAATAGACAATGCTATGAAAAAGAATGTGAATACACTCCTATAACGGATGCAGCCTCAGAGAATGATATAATTAAGTCATGCTATTTTATGCCTAAGTACATGTCATGAGATATGACAGATGAAGAGGATTTTAGCAACATTCAGATCCAAAGGTAAGAAACCAATCCACTGACAAAAACCTAACTGAGACAAATTTTTGCAACAGATTCTGCACCTGGCTCTTCCTGTCCTCATTTTCTCTTTTTGCTTTTAAGCTCACTGGTGGAGTTTCCTTTCTTGCACCTTCAGCATTGACAGTAGATGAATGTGGCATCTAGTTCAAAATCCACAGCTCAGCATTTATTTCTCTGTTAGCTCAAAATTTAGGGATTGTTATGATCACTATTATCATTTATTTTTAAGGTTTCTCCATTTCTTATCCTGTGCTTACTGCTACTCGTTTATGTTAGTGATCTTAGTCTTTACGCTTCACGTGAAGAGCATTGAGCAGCAATGGGTGAAACAGCAACATGACTTTCCCAGAACATTACAGTTACATTTCTAAAAAGAAAAAAAATGTTGAACTTATTTTAACTTTAACTGCAGCACTCAAAACAATTTCCAAATGGAATAAAATTGTAGGTGGCTTTGCAGAAGAGGATTTTTGCCTTTCAAAGACTTTTTGATTTTGATAACAGTATTAACAGAGGAAAGTAAGGAAGAGAGTGTGGTGGTTGAAAACCTCACCAAAATGAAAACAATAGATCATTTTCAAGTGTCTTTTCAAAATTTGTGTAGTTCTTGATTTTATACTCAAAATTTTGATGTACCACAGAGCTATAATTGGTAGCTTAACACAAAAAACACTAAACACATTTCACATATTTCTCTGAATTATTCCACTTCTCTGTCTAGTTTTTTCTACAATAAGAGCGCTCTCAAGGGAATTTGTGTGTCTATGAGAAGTTTTGAGATCTTTGCAGAAACTGAATACATTCTTGCCCTTGTAATGAGCTGGTACAGTGCCAGATTATTGTTGTTTTTGTTTTTGTTTTTTTTAAGTCACCTTGCACTTTCCCTGTCATAGCAACTTATTTGAGTGATAAAATACAAAATTCTAGCCCATCACATTTCCTCTGCCCCCATGCTCAGTGATGCAGGTAGCTGATGCAACACAGAAGGTGAAGGATGAAGGTGAGTCTGGACGATTACATTTCAGTGCATAAAGGAAACAGATGTGCATCACAAGTGATACGATCACCACTGTAGTTTGGCAACCAAACACCACGTAGGGTTCTTTGCATAAGAGCATGCATTTCCTCATTTGGAAATCATTTAGTGCATCCTGTGGCACATCCATGTAATATTAGTAATAAATTAATTTAGTGATTTTATTGAAGGTCAGACTTCACTTCTGCTAAATGGAACTCTTCATGGAATTCTCACAATGACAAAAAAGCACAAGACAATTTTCCTCAATTTGTTAGTCCTGCACTTCCTCAGTATTCAACATTTTAAAATTGTTTTGGATACCACTGAGTGGAGCTCAAATACCAATTCAGAAAAAATTAAACCCCTCATGCTGTTGCTAGAATCCACTACACATTTGAGTCTGCTTCATTCAGAGCCTTCAGTGGTACCTTTTACAATGCAAACATCTATAAATATAGATAGGGATAAAACTAATTAGATAGTGCTGTTTAACTTCATCTCTGAGCAGGACAAGAGATTGGCATGTTCACTCTACAAACAGAAGCTTGAGAAACTTGGGAAAAGATATTTCCCCCTGTGTACACTGAAGAAAAAATTATTCTATGCTTAACCTCACAAAATGCCTTTCCTTTCTCACTTTTTCAAGATCCAAGTATCAAAGGTATAAACTTTGCAGGGATTGCTAGAATTATGAACCTCATCAGAGCAATGGGTTTAAATCCAGTGTTATCAGCGAATTCATCGGTTCATCAGTAAATGAGAGCACACTGCATGAAGTATCCTACATTGTGATTATATCCTTCTGCAAAAGGTAAATAATTGATACGAAGTATTTCTAAAATTACATCTTTAATAATATCTCTATCATCCTCTGTACAAGTAGCTGAAGAGTTTTTCTGTTTCTCTGTGTACTCAGTAGCTATATATATAACCAATTGCAAAGTTTCTCTACTTACATGGTTGATACTCAGAAAGTACCATCTGGTGAGACACTAAAAAGATGCCCAAGGTGCTGAAAGGAGCGGCAGTATACCAGGTGATACAGACAACTGCAGTTGAATCAATACCCAGAAGCCAGCTGGAGCTTATCCTACTGCAGTTGCCTGTAGAGGTCTTGTAGAGGAACTTTAATGAAGAACAACCTTTGGAGAGAAATGCCAAAAAACTACCAATAACAGGTACTCTTTTATTAGTGATGCTGTTTAGAGCTTAAACGTAAAGCTGAGCTAGAAGTCAGGGCAGTTGGTTTTCTTTCCACCCTGTCATTGGCCCTACAACTCATGTATTTTGGTATTTACAAATCCTTAATCTAAATAAGGTTCTGAAATGCTAATAGAAAGGTTTTTCATGTAAAAGCATTGGGCTGCTTTTAAGAAGTTACTTCTCCTTGGGTACTACCTTTTCAGCATGTATTCCTCTAATATTTATGTTTTTAAGTTTAGATTCAACAGATCAAATTAATTTCGGGATGCATATTTTATATAAACTCAATCTGAAAATTTCAGTCCAGAGCAAGATTTGACTTCAAGTGTAGCAAAGTGTAGCAATAGCATCTGAAAGGCTTAAGAAAGCTGCATCAGAAAGACAGAAAACACATCTGCAGGTTTCCATTCCCCTGCTTGCCCATATAACTTTTGTCTGAATTGCTTGCCTGCAACGTAAAGAAACATCAACATTAATTGGGCACTTGAAACTATTGAGAATTTCCTTCCATTTCACTTCATTTGAAGTAATTAACTCAATTACACTATTTGAGTTGTACAATTGCATTATAAAGCAGGAATTTTGAGAGAGGATAGGAGGAACATAGGCAGAACGAAATAACAGCAGCCTTCCAGTTGTCAGGATGTTATCAAGACAAAATAGTCAGGGCCCTATGTAGCATTAACTGGCAGGGGAACTGTAAAAAATGGACACAAATTGAAACAAGAGAAGATCCAACTGGATGCTGTGAAATAGCTACATTATGAAGAAACATCAACTGACATAAGTCTTCTTGTCTGCTACCTTTTCTCTTTCACACCTTCAATTTATTTTGAAAGCAACAAAAGGAAAAAGTTCCTTAGAATAAGTTTCTGGCATTCTTCAACTTACATTATGTCTCCTGAAACACAGGATTTCATGTTGTACTACTCTACCTTTCAAAACTCACCACCACTAGGGTGCATAGTAAAATAACCTATTTAGATTACTAACTTTACTTGGAATTAATCCATGTATTTATCCCCTTACCTTGGCTATGATACGACACAGATGAGTACCTTCCTGGGTGAGGCTGAATAAGCTGTTAATTGCTGACTCAGTGATGTACACGCTATCCGACGATTCTATTTGTCTCAGCAGGTTCTATGTGACATAAGGTAATTAAAAACCAGTTATTTCCAGTGATAAACGTGACTATTGTATTTAAGATGAAATAGAGTGGGAAGTCAAGCCCATTTACTCTTTGTGAGCCCAAGCAAGGGCAAGAGTCAAAGCAGTAATATTATAACACATTTAATATCACATTTGAATAGACATAATTAAAAATAGCAACATATAAAAATAAGCACGAATAGAAAAGAGGAATGTGTTTGAAAACATGTTAAAAAAAGAGCTCAAGTTATTAGGAAACTATTCTCGTATTTGACCTACAATTGAACTACAAACTTAAGAAGGAAACTGTCTCCATGCAGAAACTGTATCATAGAGTTGTGTAAATATTCTGCATTATTCATTGTAATATTGCTATACCCTTTCTAATAATAACTTTGTCTCTAGGATCATCATTATTGTCAGTTTATGCATAAAGCTGAAAGGTGATACTGATTAATAACAGGAATTATTAGGAGAAATATATTTCATGTATTTGTTTCTCAAATACATGAAATAAGTTAAATATTTTTATATTTGCAAGTAGTTATCTTGCATCTTCATGTGTGCCAATGCAATTGCACAGGTAAACATAGCTGTTAAAAATACAAAGCTTAATTTTATTCTTTGAAAGTTCATACAATCACAAGAGAAATAACTGATTGTATTTATTAGAAGGAGGAAGGCAAGTGTTTATGTATTTAATACAGTTTTGAAAGAAATATCCCTTATTATAATTTACACTGTTACTGACAGAAAATTCAGTTATCTTCCCTTTAAAAGTTTGCTTTCTCCCACTCTACGTGTCTCCCCTAAATAATCAGTTCACACTTTAATATTAATCCCTTTTATCAATAAATCCTGATACACTGATTTGAAAAGAAAGCTCTTTAGTAACAACCATCATGGCCTCTCCTGCAGATGCTTTGCCTGCTCCAGGGCAAACTACCCACAGCGTGGTTGTAAGGCAGAACTGGGTGCACAACCTGGCTGGGTGGTTCTGAGAAATATTATGTTCATGGTTTTTATTAGCAACCTCTCCTCCAAGAGATCAGCAATGCAAATGCTTATGGGATAGTGCAGAGTAATTAATCCTGCTTTCTTAAAACATACAGGGTCTAGGATTTAATGTGTCAGTAAATATCAAAGTGTCCAGAGGCAGAACTACTAGCAATATAGGACTTCTCTTCAAATGCAAGAGAATAAGCATCAAAAGATGGACTGCCTACTCACTGAATTTGCAGTATGTAGTTATTTATTGCAGCCTTTCAGTACCTAAAGGGAGCCTACAAAGAGGAGGGGAATCAACTCTTTGAAAGGGTGAGTGATAGCAGGACAAGGGGAAATGGTTTTAAGCTGAGGGAAGGGAGATATAGGTTGGATGTCAGGGGGAAATTCTTTACGGAGAGAGTGGTGAGGTGCTGGAACAGGCTGCCCAGGGAGGTTGTGGATGCCCCGTCCCTGGAGGTGTTCAAAGCCAGATTGGATGGGGCCCTGGGCAGTCTGGTCTAGCATTAGGTGGAATGGTTGGTGGCCCTGCACGTGGCAGGGGGGTTGGAGATTCATGATCCTTGAGGTCCCTTCCAACCCTGGCAATTCTGTGATTCTGTAAAGTTCGTACACCACCTTTCACGTTACTCTTGTAAATTCTAAGTGCATTAGTAAGTAGGTTGTTACCTTGACTATAATTCTGAAAATATATTCTGGACACTTTCTAGCAACTGCAGAAGATGATTCAACTTTTGCTAATTTAAAGCATCAAGATACAAAATAATTTAACTAATACCATTCAGTATTTTGTTTTAGCACAGTAGTAAATACTGTTTAACAATTACTTCTTCATCAAGCCTCTCATTCGCCTGATGGGATAAAAAAAAAAATTCAATAACATCACTTCTAAAATACGGTCAAATTAATTGAGCATAATTACATTTGTCGGGGGTTTTTTGAGCAAGATTAAAGGGTGCAAAGGGATAGTTAATGAGATCTCAAGAAAGAAACTAGCATAAGATAGATTGCTTAGACTTCCAAGTTATTACCTCAAGAATGGTCTAATGGACGAAGTATAATGCATCTATAATCTCAGATTACTCTGTGTTTTATCAACTTTTAATCACCACTGGATATGTCTGTAGTGATACAGCAGTATTTCTGGAATGCTCTGTGCACACACACACACAGAAGTTTTGCTCTCATCAGCCCTCACACTATGGAGGAGGGAAGTATTCTAAAACCAGTGATGGTTATGATAACCCCATGCAAAAGGTTATTTGCTGTTTTGGTGCAAAAAGAATACTGATAGTCACACACAGCCTGTACAAAGGTTATTATTTTAATCACGACTTTCCAGAGTCTAAGATACGCTCTAGTTAAAATGTGTGCTGTAATGATATATATATTATACATATGTCTTCTAGAAGTTTTAGCTTTCAATAGGAACTGTTGAGAGCAGGAGAAACTTTGAGGTTTCTAAAGAAAAGCAGTGCCTGTACAGGGAGAGAAAATGTGTACGAAGGTCTTGTTAAGACAACATTTTCCAGAGATTGACTTCCTTATACTGAAAAGATATGTATCAGGAATGGTAATTAACACTGTAATCCACAGGATTATTTTGCTTCGGAAACAAATCAGGTGAAAAAACACATTTAGATCTCTTTGCAAGATATTTGAATTACTGATCATTGATTTGCTGAAAAGAGATATAATTATCATCCTTCTCTTAATCAACATTCTCCTTCAAGACTTAACATTGGTGAAGATGTTTATTATTATTATTATTACTTTTATTTTTATACTGTAGACTAACCTGTGCTTCATGTGTTAGAACCAGCTCTATCAACTGGCCAAAATACTGAGCAACAGTAGTGAGCGTTTCATTAATACAAGATTTCATGGACTTCAGCATCTGTTCATCCTCTACTTGTATGCACCTAAAACAAAAGAGAGAGGGAAACAATGAAGGAAAACAAGATGCAATAGACTCCAATTGTTTATCAGTATGATTGCCACAGGTGAGCTCTACACCAGAGTACCAAAGCTTTGTCTGCACATAGTAAGCATAACACCAAAGGACAACAGTAGACATTAATGAATACTTTGGGGATCACAATCTACTTCATACACTACAGGCCTAATTTTGCTGCAGATGTCGTGTTTATATCAGCAGAACTCTATTTTCCCCTTATGCTTATAGTTACAGTCACTCGAGGTGCCTGCCTTTCAGCTGCAGCTCTGGTTGTGAAACACAGAGGTATGTACTAAGAAGTGTTCTCAATAATTTTCATTTATTTTCTTCATCATAGTTTAATAAAAACAGGACAAGAGAACAAGCTGAATGTGTCCAAATGAATAAAGATCATTTGAGCAACATACTCAAAAGTAAAAAAAAGCCCTCTGTGAAGAATGATTACACAGAGCAGCTTTACAGAGTTGGTGTAACCATCCCCTAACCAGTGATACTTGGTGCAACTGGTGAAACAAGATAACGATGTAAAACATTCTACAGATGAATAATTCAAATGAAATAACTGATACTGCTGCACAGAAATGCATTATTTTAACTTGTCGAAAATAATTCCTCCTCATCAAGCTGCTGCAATGGAAGATAGAGTTTTGTTGATCAGTGTTTCCACCTACATAAGTTTCCTTCTCAGAACTACCTGTCTTTCATTTAACAACTTTTCATCAGACTGAAAAAGGGGGAGAGGATCACCAGGATCTTATTAAAACAGTGTGTCCCATAGTAGAATAAAAAAATAAAGTTTGAGTTGTGCAAGTTTGGCAAAAAGCAGTAGTGCTCAAGGGGTATTCCTTCCTGATCATTACACGCCGTCTTTTCCCCTCATGATCCCCTGAGAAGAATGACTGGCATGGCATTTGAAGTAGAGAAAGACCAACTGAATTGCAATGAAGGAAAGAGGATAATGTACATAAGGTAGGGTAAATATAATGAGAAGGACTATATAGAAATTCTTATTTTATATTCTCAGCATTCTAGAGTGCATGTAGCTAATTAAACCTAAATATGAAATTAAAAGAGTACATATTTATTTGGGTTTCGTTTTCTAATATGTGGATACTCAGGAACGCCAATTATGACAGCCTATAAAGAGACCATATGAAAGTTTTCCACAGAAGCTGAAATCTTGGCTCCAGAAAACTCTGGGGAAGTTTTGTCACCTATACCATTAGAATCAGACTTTCTCCCTTGATGCCTAAAAGCTATGAAAAATCATCTTCCATATCTATGCCAGGCTCTTTGTGCAACAGCAGATCCCATCTTTCATTAAGATGCAGTTTAGATAAAAGCAATTCACTTCATCCACTGGGGCTAACATTCAGAAAGCCTTTCAGAGCTGCAGGGGCCTAGTTCAAACATTTGACAGTGGTAGTGGATTTGCACTTCTCATCACAAACTCTACAACATAATAAAACAGCAAAACGAATATTTCAATCCAAAAATTTAAATTACCTTTCTGTAAATGCCGTAAATTCTGAACACTTGTCTATTAAAAGGTTTTCCAGCTGGACAGATAGAAAGAAAAATTGATTTTTAGTATCCATGTGTGTTTGCTTTTTTAAAATACATGTTTGCTTATGTTAATCAGATAAAAGCCCTCCAGAACTATTATGTCATATAAGCACTATTTCTTTGTGTTTTTTTTTCCTACTCTTCTAAATAAAACTAAATAAAACAAGTAGAGATAAAAATAAGGTTAATAAAAACATAGCATCTAGATCTTAAATGCAAAGAAACTCATAGATGGGGTATTTAAATATTTCAGCGCAGTGATCACCACAAAAAACTAGATTTTTTACATTCTAATTTGTCAACATGACCAGCTTTGACAATCAAGCCTATGATATCTATAGGATCTGTTGACTCCAAAATGTTTTTACAACTAAAAATAAATTACATAAAGAAAAAAGATAAAATGAGATTATATAACGTTATAGTTATTACCAAAAACAAAAGAGAAAAGACATCAAATGAAGCATTCCTACCTGATTCATTTCTTCTGACGAACTCCTGGTAAATGCATTGTATTCATTTATCATGGAACGTACATGGCAATTGACTCTTACTGTCATGCTGTGGACTCTTTGCCATCTGTTCTTCTCCAACTTCTGAGCAATCCTGGTCAACTCAGTGCTTATTATCCAAGCTCTTTTTAATAGCAGCTGTAAATTATCACTTGTGCTATACTGTGAGGAAAGGATGAGTTCACTTTGTTCATCTTTCTCAGCGCTGATCGGTTTGGACTGGAGAATACACATGCATTCACAGTCTGTCATCAACTTCAAATCTTCCATCCACCGCTGAACAGAGTCCACCTGAATTAAATGCATGCTAAGAGGCATGGAAAGAAGGAAGAACAAGATGAGGCAAAGAGATCTTGGGATAACCATCAGCAGTAAAACAGTGTTGAATCTAACTACCTAGTTGCAATTCATTGGCAAAAGGTAATGGACTGAACAAACAGTTTGCTTGTAGCAGTCATTGAGAACCATGCTTTCCTTTCAATTCTAGTGACAAGTTTTGGGTTTCTGATCATTTTCAGTCTACAAAGCTACTACAAAAAGCATACTACAAAAATCAGAGAAAAATCAGTAGAGATTGGGGATGACTAAACAGAATTTTAGGCTGCAGTTCTGGGGGAAAACAGTCCTGCAGTCCTTCACAAATATAGAATTTGATATGATGAAGTAACAGTTATGCGTTTGCTTGCTGTTTATAGGACTATACTACAAAATTTTTTTATACACTTCACCTGTCAGTCTCTGCACAGGACAAGTTTTACCTTGCAACATCTCTCCAAAGCCCTTACATTCACTCTGGGACAGCCAAAACAAGACAACTAACAGTACCATCAGCAATATCAATTTTTCCCACATCATAATCCCCATAAACCTCAGCTGGATTCTTCTTTCTGATGAGAACTTTGCCTTCTCTCATGTTTCTCACTGTTGTCTGTAAAATTTGTACATCTGACTTCCATTTTTGCAGTACAGCAATCAAACTGTAAACAAGTGAGGCTGTAAGAAACTCCTTGACCAGTAAGGGCACACGGGCAGTGAGCCTGTCTTGTGAGCCCTTGCACACTCTGACAGAGGCACAGCTGTTAACAGAATCAGCAAGGTTGGAAAAGACCTCTAAGATCATCCAGTCCAATGTCCTGAGCTGTTACACGAAAGCCTGCCTGTTAGAGCAACCTCTGTGATTGCATTAGCCAACATGTAGACAGTGATGGGGAAGGACCTTTCAATTCTTGAGCTGAACACCAGTTGAATTCCCTTCCAGACCACTGAGGTAATGCTGCACAAATTACCAAATTTTGATTATAAACATACGCAGGAGGCTCACCTCAAGTGTAATTTTACATAAATCAACAACAGACAAGATACAAGGGATCAGTTTCATTGATCCGTTTTCCCTTTTCACCAAATACAGTGAAACTTCTTTTAATTTTAAACTTCACAAGCTGCTGCTACGTAAGGTCTTTATTTTACTCAGCACTGAGCACTGTGTAATTGTATTTTATGATTGATTGTGGCTCACTTTCTTCTCACTATGTGTAGTCTCCTTATTGCTTTTTTGGATGTGAAGCAAGGTTTCCTCATAGACAAAAATAACAACTCCAGAAGTTTGAGATCATGATTTATAATGACATGCACAGTTTGTGTGCAGTAAAGGATAAACTCATTTGACAGAGTAATGTATTTTTCATTTCCAAAGTGCACTATGATAATTGATTAAATCTCTGTTTAGTAAGTACAAATAAACTCTTATATTATATGTTCACACGGAGAGAAAAACTCAAATATAAGGTTAGTTGGATAAAACAAGAAATAGCTCATTTCCTCTACTCCCAAATAGAAATCTTCACTTCAAAAAGTAAAAAAAAAAATTATGAAATTGTACACAAAAGACATTAAAGAAATTCTCATTTGTCTCAGTTCCTACTCAAGTGATTGACCAAAGTACAGTTGTGTAACACAGAAATTTTTTTCATCTGAAATTTAACATCCTTTAACTCCACTGGCAGAAATACCATTTGCCTTCTCTCAGACCAAGGGACTATTGAAAACTCCCTTTGTTCACTATGTCAACTTTTCTGCTACATTATGCTTTAAACTAATCTCATATGTGAAGTGAAATATGAGCTGTTCACTTTCATTCACTTCTCCACATATTTAGACAAAATCTTCCAAACATTCAAGGCATGAATTAGCAGATTATCTTTTGCATATTAAAATAAGGAAAGCCAAGTAGAATCATTCCTAATTAACTTTTAAAAATCCAGACAGCGTTTAATGATGTCTCAAAACAAGTTGAAAGTTTCCATCTTGTCACCCATTACTGAAAAAAAAATAAATTACCACACCTACAAAATAAAAACACCCATAATGGGACAGACTAAAAACCTGTCTAGCCCATTATCCTGCTCCCAACACGGCCATTAGCAGATGCATAAGGAACATTTGTAAGAGGCATTGTAGGAGCTGAGCAACCCCTCCTTCCCATCTTCTGGCAATTAGTGGCTTATGAACTTCCTAAGCCAAAATACACATCTGTGCAGGATGTTTTCACAATTCATGAAACAAAAGTAGCCATTAATCCCTTTTTGAACTCAGTTAAACTTTCGGCCTTTACAGCATCTAGTGACAATGGCTTACACTTTGATTATGGTTTGTAGGAGCAACTATTTCTTGTTGCTTATTTAAACTCGCTGCCTTGAGATATTAATACAAGCTCTGCAGTTCTTGTATGACAAGAGATTGTAAAGAGAGAGCTCCACAGTATCCGCCTTTGTACAATTCACTAGCTTATTCTCTGTGACTGATTTCCTTTGATTTAGCTCATTTTCAAGACATCAAAACTGTGCTTATCCAGTCTGTCAGCAGGCAAAAGTGATCTCTCACCTCTGATCATCCGATTACCCTTTCCCACTTAAAAACATTTCTAGTTATCCTATGGCCTTCCAAGATGAGATGCAGGAACAGCACACAGTATCCAAAATTCATAGAATTATAAATTTGGATTATATTTTCTGTAAATCTCCATTTTCCAAGAATTCCCCAAATTACTTTTATTTACCTAAGTGCTTTGAAGAGAACTATTTCATATTTATCTTCCAGAAAGCGTAACTATTTTTATTTCAAAATGAAAATATAAGTGATAACATAGTTTAGAGTTAGTTGTCCTATGATGTAAGTTGCCCTAAGATGTAAGCCTAAAATGTCTTCAGTTTCTGGCTCCTTCTCACATTTCCTACTATGTTCATTAACAATTAACTTAATCAGATATCTTACTGTTTCAGTGACTCAGTATTGACAGGTACTTCAGTGATTGCATGGTTGCAGTCATTTTGAATTTACCTGATCAATTTCACATAATCTGGAAGTGTTGTTATCCTGCTGTTATAACTATTTTTCAGGCAGTTAACAAATACACTGAGCATTATTGGTTCAAGGATAAGGGACCTTAATGGAGTGATTTTGCCCAGATCTGTTTCATTAAGAACCATTAGGTAGTTAACTTGCAGAGACCTTCATGTATAAAGTTAACTCTCCACTAGTTTAATTTTTTTAATTTAATGTGCCTTGGCATACTGACAAGACAGCAATTTATGAAGACCAAAAAAGCAGCATTTCATGTAAAACTAGAAGTAATTCACTACAAAATAAAAATTCAAAAGAAAGCATTTCTTTAATGTCATCCTATTTTAATCGAGGCTGTAAAACAGCTGAAGTTTTCAAGATTATTCAGTTGAATTTCAGTAACTAACAATTCAAATACACTGAATTCTAGTGCGCTGCCAAATCTCTGTTTCAAGATCGCATTCTGACATAATCATCTGGCTGAAATGAACTTAGAGCAACAGCATGTTGGAAGTATGTTTCTTCAACAGATGCTAAGACCTTGCTCCATTTCCACACTACATAACGCTTTGATGCCCAATTTCATCATGGAGGACTCATGGGAAAAAACACTGTCATCTTACGTTTCTAATACGTACATTGTTTTCAGGGTTATCAGGACTTTTCTTCTTTTCATAATAAGTAGTAGTGGGCTAATGAATCACGTGATCCTTAGGACAGACCAAGCAATCCTTTAGATAGCAATCCTCCCTCTCTCACGTTGGTGCGATATGAATACAGAAGTACAAAAGTAAAGAAATAATAACTAGATCATATTTACAGCTTCCAGCTTGGACCTCTCTACTACAGTTTTACTGGCAGAAATACATACTTTTTTAAATTGCAAGTGTTATCATAAAAAAGAATTATGCCTCCATTTTTTATACTGAATTTCAATAAGTACAGAAGTTTTGTGTTTTATAACAGCACGTGAAAGACTGAGCTAATCAATTCACATGAATATTCCCAGGGGCCATCACATTTATAAAGTGTAAAGACTTCTGCTGCGTAGAATTATGGTTTTTTTGAAGCTTCTTCGTCTTTTTATTCATTTTCACCTATTATGACAGATTTATTACAGATCCTAATGATAACATTTAGTGTGGCTTCCAGATAAGCCTACAGTGAAAGTTGTTGCCAAGCCTTACAACTATGCTCAAATTTATTATTCTAATTAGCAGCAGGTAATTAATTGGCAACAAACAACTTCTCGAATGGATTTAGCCCCCTCTCTGAACATAACTCATCTCTAATTTTTTTCTAATACATCTATTCAAAATTATTCATAGGTACCCAATATTACCAGGGCCAGTTTCTACATTAATATAATAGACAGCAGAACTCAACTATCAGTGGAAGGATTTAGTGAAGAGCCTTAAAGAAGGCTCTTATTTATACTCAAGTCATTTAACACTATTAATTGCTTGTAAGAGCCTTGTGGATCTATGATATACTTGCACTAATTTTAGCAAAAATTTGACATATCTAGGGAGGTAGCTTAAGTGATACAGAGTACCTGTAGGGTAGCTGATTTTTAAGTGTACACACTTACTTTGAAGACCACTCAGAGTAATTGGGGTCTATGAATATTTAGCATTTTAATTGATGTGGCAAGCTAAAGGATTAGTCCAATAATTTGCACAGTATTCACTCTCCTCCTAGATTTGACTTTCTTTTCGAGTATATCAGCAACCCAATCTCACAGACAAAAGAAGAGTTTAGTATTTAACTGGCTGCCCAGAGAGGCTGTAGACACTCTGTCCCACAAGGTGTTCAAGACCAGGTTGGATGGGGACCTCGCCAACCTTTCTAGTACCAGATCTGAAGATTGGCGGCCCTGCACATGGCAGAGAGGTTGGAACATGATGATGGAACTTGGGGTCCATTCCAACCCAAGCCATTTCTATGAATTAAGGCTTCAGAAAACAT